TTAGAATATTGAACTCCCCGTACTTTCAGGCACCTGCTGAAATACATTTCTTCCAACACCAAGCTCTAAAAACTGAACTAGAAGCTTCAGGAAGGTTTGCTGTGAACTTCTACCTCTTTATGACCAACAGTTTGCATACAGATTTGGAGCCAAAATAAACCCAAACTTGCAGATGTTCAAACGCACACTGGCAAATCTTTCCCCCAATGGAAAGAAACGCATGCAGACCCAGCACTCGCACCCTTCAGTCAGATGGTAATTTAAGCTGGTTAAGTCCAAGCCACAAGAGAACAGTAATTGTGATACTGCAAGTCTCAAAGCAAGCTGGGCCTGAGGGCGGGAGGAGACCCGCTACAGGTAAGAAGGGAATTCAGCCTCCAAGTGGCAAGTCAGATGCAGGCTTGTTTCTTTTTCTCCCTTTCTCTGGGCGACGAAAAGGAAAGGGAAGAGGAACTGCCCGCTGCAGTCTTGGTGATTTCTTGTTAAGTACATATATAAATACAGCGTGTTGAAAGCATATTCTTAATAAAATTATTAATAACTCAGGATGGGAGGAGACATCTGATGTGGGATCACAGGGGTGTGATTCTTAGTGTCTTCCTTATTTTTATGACTAGAGGCTGGTGTGCGGAGCAGCACCGTGACCAGCTCTGGCTGCACGATCAGGGCTTGGCCATTTCCTTGAGCGTTTTCAGGTACCTGCTGCCTGAGCTACCTGAATGGCCAAGTACCTGAACTCAGCACGCTCCGAGACGCTGCACATCCTGGAGGCTAAGGTGTTCTTTGAAATAAAAATAAATAAAATTGAAACAATACAATACACATGGCCCACACACGCACACCCCAGTCAGCAGTATTTATGGCTGTCTTGTGTCCAAATAACATAAGGCAGCTCCAGAAGTTGGAAACAGGATTCTCTGCTGAGACTGAAACTAGAAAGAGCTGGCACCCAACAAACAAGAAAAGCCACTAGCAGGAACCCAGGGAAAGGCACAAATGGCGCTGAGATCTGGAAACACTCAAGTTTAAGGAAGGTGATCTGAGAAAAGAATCGCCTGGGGCAGACCAGGCGCAATGGCTCACACCTGCAATCCCAGCACTTTGGGAGGCTGAGGCAGGCAGATCATTTGCGGTCAGGCGTTCGAGACCAGCCTGGCCAACATGGTGAAACCCTGTCTCTACTGAAAATATAAAAATTAGCCAGGCATGGTGGCACACGCCTGATGTTCCAGTTACTTGGGAAGCCGAGGCAGGACAGTCACTTGAACCCGGGAGGCAGACGCTGCAGTGAGTTGAGACTGCGCCTCTGCACTCTGGCCTGGGCAACAGAGTGAGACTCTGTCACACACACAAAATAATCGTCATCATCACCATGGGCAGAGAGAGCAGGTGGCAGCAGGGGTCTGCCTGGGACCCAGAACGGCAGCCTCAGGAGCAGCAGCCCTGCTCTCGGACCACATGTGCCTCACCTGCTGCCCTCGCAGCGCCCCAGCCCGGGGACACGGCAGGCATGGGCAGAGCCTTGGCTGCCAGCTTCAGGTCCTGACCACTCGTGCTCACCACACAATGCTCCGGAACTAAGGTAATCTCCCCAGATCTTGCTAACGACAGAAACAGAGCCAGCCTGACCAGGAGATAACATTAGTCTTTGGAGAACCAATATTTTATCCTTCACAGTAAAACAGGAAATTGGAAATTTGAATTCAACCTTCATTTTCATGAGTCTGGTCCCTGGGAATGTGTCCTGGATGATGTACAAACATGAGTATCTCACTCGCAGAGCCACGTTACACCCAAGCACAGCCCCACTTAAAGGCCCCTGATCTGGGATCCAGTCGGCCCCTTCTGTAGCATCTTCCTTAAACCCTTTTGCAGAGGCACGCACACCACACAGTCCAGGAAGATGCTGGGACAAAAGGGCCACTGCAGTTAGCAAGATCCCAGGGAGCGGGCAGGGCACTGGGCCCCCACTCCCCAACATGCAGTCAGTCACCCAGAAGAGCTGCGTGTCCTTCCCCGCCCTCCATCAAGCCCATGCTGGGCCCCTCTTCACCTCCACCACCATGACCCGTGGCAGGTTTGTTCTCACTGGGGTAGCCCTAGCAGCAGCCTCCTGACTGGCCCCACATGCAGCCCCACCCCACGTGGGCACCCGAGTAAGCCGCCTGCACCCCGTCACGTGTCTGGCTGGCTCAGCACCCTTCCGCAAGTCCCCCACTCCCCCACCATCGGCAGCACTTACAAGGCTACGGGCTCAGGAGTCAGACCTCTGAGAACATGGTAAGGTGCTGCCCCTCTGAGCCTGCCTCGCTCCAAGGGCTGGCCTAAAAAGCAAACCTGACTGGTCAGGCGTTGGCTGCGCTCACAGCCTTGCCGGCACGATTCCACTACTGCCCGGTCCTGGGAAGGCTGCTCTAGTCCTGCAGAGTGGCTGTCGTTCCTGACACCAAGGTCTTTCGTGCCCACGTGCTGGGCCAGGCCTCCACCCGAACTCTCCCTCCTTCCCACCATGCCCAGCTCATTCCATGGCTTACGCTGCAGGTCTTAAATTAGGTACTGCGTTTTCTAAGACACTTCCCTTAAATGCGCCCACCTCCTCCAACTGGAACGTGTCTTCTCGCCCCTTTCCCCACACGTGGCACCAGGGCAGCTGCAATAGTCCTCACCACGCCGTACTGGAAGTCAGCGGTCCCCAAGCTTTTTGGTACCAGGGACCAGTTTCGTGGAGGACAATTGTTCCATGGACCGGAGTGGGGAAGTGGTGATTTCGAGAAACTGTTCCACCTCAGATCACTGGGCATTAATTAAATCATCAAGAGCTTGCAACCTGGATCCCTCGTGTGCGTAGCTCACGATAGGGTCTGTGCTCCTAGGAGCATCTGATGCGGATCTGACAGGAGGCGGGACTCAGGGGCGTGGACTCGCTCGCCCACGGCTCACCTCCTGCTGCGGCTCAGTTTGTAACAGGCCATGCACCAGTACCAGTCTGTGACCCAGGGGCTGGGGACCCCTGCTGTGACAGTTTTCCTAACCGCCAACCCCACCAGGACACAGTCCTTCTGAGAATCAGGGGTGTGTCTGAGACCTGGCTGGGTCCCAGAGTGCCTGTTACGATGAATATAAATTTGTCAAGCGAATGAATGAATGAATGAACGAATGAATGAATGGAGAGGCAGCTGACCCAGTTAAGGCTCCTCTGCCTGTAGGTTGTAGTTCTGAGTTTCAGGCTAGAAAAGACCCGTGTTCAAAGAGATCGAAGGAAAAACAGCGTAACGGAAAGAGCCATGGCCCTCAGCCCACCTCACTGCACACGCCCAGGTCTCCACGGGGCTCAGAGGTGGCCAATTCCCATCTCCAGGGTGACCCACACAGCCTGGCCGGGTCGTGAACAGACCGGAATCTCGGGCCCTCAGCCCACCTCACTGCACACGCCCAGGTCTCCACGGGGCTCAGAGGTGGCCAATTCCCATCTCCAGGGTGACCCACACGGCCTGGCCGGGTCGTGAACAGACCGGAATCTCGGGCTCGTAACATCTAAGATGTTCAACACCACCTCGGCATGGCCCTGAGTTTCCAGACAGAGGTCCGGAATTGGCTGCCCCTGCTCGATGGACCAAAACAAAGTCTCAGAGTCTAGAGGGGGGCAGGCAAGGAGAGGTTCCTGATTTCAACACTTGTGCCAACAAGTGTTGGCATCTGGGGCCTGGGCCTGCCTCAGTGGAACCCTCCGGAGCCTATGAGGGACTCTGCTGAGCTTCTCCCAGCTGCTCCAGCAACAGCTGCCCTCGTGCCCACATTCCTTCCCTCCCCGCCCACCGATTTGGGACCAAAAGATCCAGCAGGTTCCAGTCCCAGCAACGTGGACATCTTCAGGCGCATCTCACGGCCCCTCTGAGCCTCAGGCGAGTGAAACACCTTCTCTGTCGGTTTACAAAGCTTAGGGGCAACAGTTCGTGACCTGCAGACCAGCTCGCCGTTATGAGATGGCGGGTGCTGGTGTCAGATAAATCCTGCGGTAAGACACGGCAGTGGGAAGTGGCACTGGCTGAGAGCCGGGTGACCCTGCAGACGGGCGCTGTTGCATGAAAACCTGTTTTCCTGCCTCACACTCCAGGAGACACACACAGGTCTTCCCGGGACTGTGCTGGGGCCTGGCTGCTGCCTCCCGAGCGGGCCCCACAGGAGACACATCCAGGGTTCGCTGGTCTGGCCCATGAAAACACTCAGAGGCACCGAGGACAGAGCTGCCTGTACCACACCAGGTACGCACGCTGCTTCAGGATAAGCATCGTCACACCCGAGGTGTTTCTGCTGCCTGAAACTGCTCAGAGGGTCCCCTCACGCTCCTCGGGACTGCTCAGAGGCTACAAGCTCAGGAGTCAGACCTCTGGGAACCTGGCAAGGTGCCTCACCTCGCTTTGCCTCTCCTGTGGCCCCCAGCCGTTCCCCCAGCCACTGCCAGGAGCTTCCAGGCATCAGAATCTACATAAAGTCTGCCACCTACAGTCAATCAGCTCGTGAGTTCACTTGCCTTTAGATCAAGCCAAACTTCCCCTTGTAGAGTTAAATTTCCCTTTTCTCCCAACAAATCAGAGAAGGAAAATGTTACAAACTGACTTAAACTTCTCTTCAAGTCAGGTGACATTCCTTCAGATTAAGAGCTGAATATGGAATCAGAGTAACTGCATTCAGTGCTGTGCAGCCGACGTACACGGCAGGGCTGGCTGCACACTCCTGTGCACACACAACTCATTCCAGGCGCCAAACGTGCAGTTCCCACTCCGTGCAGGCAAAACCTAACTCTCACGTCCAAATTTCTTTCACCTCACAATGATGGGCCTTTTTTCCTTCTTGGAGACATGAATCCACCTTTTGTGGCATCTGCTTTAGCGCCTTCTGGAGGAAAACAAGAGCCTCTAAAATAAAACCAGGAGCTTCGATCGCGCAGGCCGAGGGGAGCGTGGTGGTTGCCCCTTGGCTCGGGAAGAACGCATTGCACATGACCTTAAACGTGGCTAAGTTGCCCTTTATTCATAAAAACATCGAGCTTTCGGTTAATTCCACCACGGAGAACACAAACCAGAGATAAAACCCACACCAAGGGCTACTTCCCAAGCCGGGGAATTGGAGAACACGCGGGCAGAGTTCACGCCACACAAGCACACGCGGCTGTCCCTGGGGGGCGTTCACAGGAAGGAATCACGAGCGCGCAGCCATCCACACGGCAGTGCAGCAAGGCTCCCGGGGTCCTCACAGGCATCCAAGCCGGGGACAGAAACCTCCACAGCAGTGGGGATAAGGGAAAAACATTTTCTCTTGCTAAAGAATATCCTTAGTTCTCAGCATAAACATGACTACATATATATTCAGCTTCAAATGAAAAACAAGTTTACAAATCACTACTGGATACTTAAAAATACAAACTCTACGTTGCTTTTCTTTTTGGCAGCACCAGCCTAAACTCTGCGGGTTTGCAACATTTCAGACACTTCAGGTACATTACAGTCTTCTCAGAAAGGCCCAGGACTTCAGAATTCCCGGAGCGGCTGTGAAGAAAGAACATTACTGGCAACAAATATTCAAACAACACTTCAAGAACTCCAAGAATACACTGAGAGGCTTGTAAAGATGCACATATTTAAGCGTTCAAGCTAATATCCTAAATCATTTTTCAGTTAACATATTTGTATCTATTTTTGGCTTAGGAAAAACATGTACTTTATTGGCAAATTGTTTAGCTGCAGCTGGACGGATGGTTCTACAGCCACACGCCCCTTTCTGGGTGTCCACCCAGGGCCTGCGCACGTGCGCGGAGTCCCCAGAACGCTCACCGCTGACACACCCTCCACGTGCGCGGGAAAACCGCTCTTCTCGTGCGGGGCTCTTTTTGGGGTGGAATTCAGAGAAACTGGGCCGCACCATCTTTTTAGGGAGAGGCCGAGTATGTTTTTCATCTGAGTGACTGCCTGCTTAAGGAATTTGAGTCGGTGTAAAGGACTAGACCACCGAATTGGGTGCAGCGTCCCAGGATGCCCGCAGCCCCCAAGTACAAACTGTAGATGCTCTCGTGGCCTGAATGTGGAATTTTACCCACCAGAAAGCATTGCTGGAGCCCAAACTGGCAACTTTAAATAGCTCAATGATATCGGTACCTTCTCCTCTGGTTTCAAACGCAATCATGACCAAACATTTTCAACTGTGAGGCAAAGGTGACTTGCACACCAAAACACCTTTCCAAAAACATTCAATGAGGTAGCTCAGGTCAATTATCAAACCCAAGTGAACACCAAGAAGCTTAATAAATGCTCAGGCATTTTAAAATGCAAATTGCTACAGTGCCTAATAAATGCTCTTTCTTCCCAGTTCTTGCAGGTGCGTGCAAACCTTGAGGAGGAACCCCTGCAACGTGAGCACAGCAAGAGGCTGGGAGTGAATGAAGCTAGCAAGGAGCAGAGAGCAGGGGCGCCCTGGTGCAGCCACCTTAGGCTAGTGCACCTGCCCACCACAGAGCTCAAGTGCAGTCAGTTCCAGAGAACAAACACCAAGGAGAACTCAGAGTTCGACGGGCTGGAAAGTGGCCCTGACTCGAGGTGCCAGGGAACACTTAGCCTGGCGCATTCACACTGAGACTGAGGCAATCCAAGACACTTCCCTTAACTGCTGAGTTGGTGTAAAGTTCTGGCCCACCGGACCAGCTCAGGGCGGTCTCTCTCACTTTCCAGGGCCCCAGAGCCACCCTCCATCTAGGGGAGTCTGGCCCCTGCTGCCCCCACCACACCACCCTGGGCGGGTTCTGGGAGAGGCCACGCTTTCAGCCACTCGTCCCCTGAGTTCTCACGGTCTGCCCACAAGCACAGACTGCTCTTTGCTGGGTAGCTTTTCAGAGGTCGAGCTCCAATGCCTTCCATGTGGAGTCCTGGACAAAAGGAAAGGTGGCCACACCAACCCAGGCAGCAATATGCATTCTGTGACTTCCAGCAGTGAGAGAGTTCACACACACACATTCATGTGCACATACACACGTTCACAATGTACACACAGGTACACACTTAGGGTGCACAAACCCTCACACAGGCACACACAAGCATCCATTCACTTACACTCACCCACGTGCACTCACACACCCACGTGCACTCACACACACCCATGTGCACTCACACACACCCTACTACACAGGCACACACAAGCATCCATTCACTTACACTCACCCACGTGCACTCACACCCACGTACCCACACACACCCATGTGCACTCACACACACGTGCACTCACACACACCCACGTGCACACACACCCACGTGCACTCACACCCACGTGCACTCACACACACCCACGTGCACTCACACCCACGTGCACTCACACACACCCACGTGCACACACACACCCACGTGCACTCACACACACCCACTGCACTCACACACTCCACGCACTCACACACACCCACGTGCAACACACACCCACGTGCACTCACACACACCCATGTGTGCACTCACACACGTGCACTCACACACACCCACGTGCACACACACCCACGTGCACTCACACCCACGTGCACTCACACACACCCACGTGCACTCACACCCACGTGCACTCACACCCCACTGCACTCACACACGTGCACTCACACACACCCACGTGCACTCACACACACACTCACGTGCGCACACACACACACGTGCACAGCCACTGGGCGGCATCCCGGGGCAGCAAGCTGTGTGCACCAGGTGGGGGTGGATGGCATGAAGCGGCCTCCCAGGCCTCTGGGCAGTGCTGCTTGGGAAGGAGCCCTGAGGCCCCCCCTCACCCTGGCGATCTCCCTCTCCTGTCCCCAGCGGCCACCACCACCGTATGGCCGCCCAGCCGGGCACACTGAAGACAAGCAGTGGGAAGGAAGGCAGCAGGTCCCTCGCGTTAGGTTTCCGTCGTGTAATTATCGTGGGCCAGCGGAGCCAGTGCCGGAAAACTGCTCCACCGCCTGGCGCCGGGCTGGGGCTCCACGCGCCCTTGCTCCTTATATTTACCCAGAATGTTTTTGGCTTCTTCTGCATCCTGCAAAGGGCTCTCTCCGTACTCTTCTCTCAGCCACTGCCGATACTGGAGAGGATGAAACAAACCCGACACGTCACACAGGTGCACACACAACCAGGGAAACAGCCGCGGGAGTCGGAGCTCTGTGGTTGGCTAGCCAGGGTCAAGCAAGAGAAGTAACTGCTCCTTCAAGGTGCCGGCCTCGGACATGAAAATAGGCCAGACCAAGGAAATGGTACGTCACCCAAAGGGAGAGAAACAAGCTAGTGGGGGTACCAGGCACAAGGAAAACAACAAAAGGTAGGCGCCTGTGGCTTCAGCAGGTGCACAAGGGATGTGTGATGACTTCTGAGGGGGCGCAGCTGGGCGCGCTGGGAGCCGATGTCCTCCGTGGGCCTTTCAACTCCAAACGCCATGATGCTGGCTGTGTACGGAGACTGTGGGCACTGCCCAGGGGCACCGGCCTGAATCTCTGATGTCCCCTAGGAATTGCTTACCTGATGGACCTCATGCTTCTCAAACTCCTGGAGCTGTCTCTGGAAGCCCACGTTGGGGTTGGCACAGGATCTCCCAGCACGCACAGTGTGCAGGGCGTCCTCCCAGCCAAAGTCGGTGACGGTCATGATGTACGCGATCACCAGCGTCACGCTCCTGGAGACCCCGGCCAGGCTGCGGGGCCAAGAGAAGCACACGTGTGAGGGCAGTTTCAGATCCCCGGGTCCATCGCCCAATCCACGTGGAGCGGGGGATTCTAAGGACCTTGTTTAGGAAGCCTTCCTGCCTTGGATGATATGTGGACAGCAAGCTCACCACCAGTAAGCCACTCAGCACTCAGCGCACCAGCTTCCTCTCCTTCCTGGCACCAGAATCGCACGCTTTCTTCCGCTGCCTGAGCTTTGTTTATTGGTTTTCTATGGGCTGTGGCTCCAGATGCCCCCCTGCTCCGAAGCCCCTCCTCAGGTCTCCCCATTTCCCCAGACAGATGACATAACTGAGGTATTCCAAGGGAACTTGAGGCTTCCAGGGTCTACACGACAAACCCATTTATAACCTACGTTTGTTTAGGGTGCTTCATGTTCCTTAGAGTCTAGTTTTCTTAGCTACACGACGGCTAGATCTGTAGCTTTTAAAGCCCACGACATACAGAAGCCCTTACCCAATCTTACTTTTGTGCTCTTTTTGACACAAACATGCAGAGCACACAGCAGGCACACTGTGTCTGCAGGGTGGGCGCGAGGCATCCTGCAGGCAGCAACGGTTAGGGTCAGTTACCTGGAGCGGCCGAGGGAGGCCCATTTTACATGTACATGCAAATGAGGGTGGTCACAAGAAGGCTGTGCTTCATCAGACTTGGAGAGTTCTAGCAACAGGTTAAGATGGGGAAGTTTAGCAAATGTCTCGCTTTTAGAAAAACCTATCTTTAGAGGTACATAACTGTATGAAATATTAATTCCTAGAATATCAGGCCGACACATATTCAAATATAAACAATAATTTGAAAACCCCACTCTCAAGTAGTGGCTGTTCACTAGGGTTTTATAGCAGAACTGCTAGGAGAGATTTTAGAAGACAGATCCTCCTGGGCTGCAACCCTGGAGATTCACATTCACCAGGAGCCAGGAGAGGCCCAGCAGTGGGAGCTCCAGAATTCTGCTTTTACTGGCTCCCTGAACCCCCAAGGTATGTTAAAGCCAAACAGAAATGAACGTTAAAATCCTGCCATCTGTATTTATTACACTTTCTACTCTTAAACAAGATGAAAAATCATGTGATTTCAAGAACTGTAAGAAACTGCAGACACCATTCTGAAAACAACTGAACTATCAGCGTCCTCCCATGTCATGGGTTATTGGCCCTCAGAACACACTGCAGTTTACACAGGTGGCTTCTCTGGATGTCATGCGCTGGGTCCCTGCGTCCCCTCTGTCCTGGCAGGGCTGCCACCGACCTCAGCAGCAATATTCCCCAGGAGTTACCACTTCACAGACCTAACGAGCTTACAGTGCAAGAGTAACTGTTTCGGGGAATGTCAAAAGATTGTTAGGTTTTCAGTTAATTAATAACACACTTCATTCAAGACAGAGAGGGGAGATGTCCGGCCCAGCACTTACAAAACAGAGCCTTGGCTCCAGAATTTTGGCTACTGGTTCCGTGAACAAATTAGCCATGTTATTAGTATGATTACGAGTGGTAATAAAAATGCCATCCCACTTTCACTAAGAACTCTCTCTGTGCCAGGCGCACGGCCAAGAGCTTCAAATGCATCATCCTCGGGTTAAATGTGATACAGCAGCTTTCCTTTCACTGTGTGTGTGTGTGTGTGTGTATCTACACAAAACATAGCAGAATGCAAACAGACACAAAACATAGCAGAATGCAAACAGACACAAAACAGCGGAATGCAAACAGACAGCTGTCACTGAACTGGGTCATTTTGGCGATACTGAAAATCCACGTTTACCATCAAGTCTCCTAAAGAAAAAACAGTGTCTCCAAAAAGCCACTGAGGTTTCAGGGATGAGCCTAGAGAATCTGTGTCATCTGTAAGAGGCTGTTCTGATGAAATGCTGGAGGCAAGCCAGCAAAGGGAAGTTTCTGTTGTCCAGTAACCTTCACGGTACCTACAGAAATCCTAACAGTGGAAATGGAAAAAATAAAAACAAAAGCAAAATGAGTTAGGCTTCTCCTTCAACAGAAGGCAACGGTGACTAACACACAGCACTGGACACGCGGAGCACACATGTGAGACTGAGTTTGCAGCAAACTGTTGGGAGGTGAAACCATTATTCACACACAGAAAAACACCTGACAGGAGGCCGAGCCGACCAGAACACGCTAAAGCGAGACACACGCACCAGTGTACGAGGCAGCTCTCACCACGCAGCCGGCACTCGTGAATGAATTTAATACTTTCTTTGAAATGTCTTGTCCTGGGAAAAGAAAAAAGAGAAACGACATTGTCTACTTTACTCAATATATGATGAAAAGAAATTTCTACCTGAGGCTTCTTTCTTAAAATGTTAATTGATTTTTATGTATAATTGACACAAAATTCTACATATTTATGGGCTACAGTGTGACGCTTCAATGCGTGTATACATTGTATAAATGATCAAATCAGGATAATTACCTGATAAATGTTTAATCACTTTAAACATTTATCACTTTGTAGTGCTAACATTCAAAAGCTTCTCTTGTAGCTCTCTTGAAACACATCCAACATTATTATTTGCTATAACCAAATAATCCACCATGTAATGGAAACCATAACACGGCTGGGTGCGGTCGCTCACGCCTGTAATCCCAGCAACTTGGGAGGCTGAGGCAGGTGCATAACTTGAGGTCAGGAGTTCGAGACCTGCCTGGCCATCGTGGTGAAACCCCATCTCTACTAAACATACAAAAATTAGCTGGGTGTGGTGGCGCACCTGCAATCCCAGCTACCGGGGAGGCTGAGGCAGGAGAATTTCCTGAACCAGGAGGCACAGATTACAGTGAGCCGAGATCACGCGACTGCACTCCAGCCTGGGCAACAGAGCCAAAAAAAGAAACCAGAATTTATTCTTCCTGTAGTTTACTGAAAGCTCTCCCAGTCCCATACCATCCAAACCCGGTCATACTGTCTGCGGCTGGAGCGTCTCAGCCTTAGAAGCCGCCATTTACAATGCTGAGGCCTAGGGAAGGCTGTGGGTTGTTTGGAATTTCTCTGTAAGAAATCCCTGAAACTCACAGTGACCACGGACTGGGGTTGGGAGAGGTTCTGGGCAGCCCCCCCATGTTCAATCTGAGCCCCTCAAAGCCCCAGCAGCACACAGGGACCCTCACACTGGCTGTGGGTGGTGCAGGCCACCGTGACACGGGTGAGGAAGGTGCCCATGTCGTGTGGGCTTTCCAAGTCCTAAAAGCTAATTTACTCCTGGCACTCTGGAAAATCGAAAAGCATTCTCTCAGACTGGTCTCCCTGGACTTTGGTAGTCCTGTCTGCAGCTCAGTGGAGAGCTGTGGGGAGATGGAAATTCTGGCTCTAATCCCTCTTTGCCATTTACTGGACCATGTGGCCCTGGACAAGCCACTTATCTTCTCAGTTATCAAGTGGGGCTGGCATCTCACAGGGCGGATGAGGTAATACGTGCCAATATGCTCTGCAAACTAAGGTCCTAAATGGCCGGAATGCAGGGGCACACCTATCATCCCAGCACTTGGAGAGGCTGAGGTGGGCAGATCACTTGAGCTCAGGAATTCGAGACCAGCCTGGGCAAAATGTCGAAACTCATCTCTACAGAAAATACCAAAAAAAAAAAAAAAAAAAATTAGCTGGGTGTGGTGGTGCATGCCTGCAGTCCCGGCTACTTGGGAGGCTGAGGTGGGAGGATCTCTTGAGCCCAGGAGGTTGAGGCTGCAGTGAGCCGAGATCATGCCACTGCACTCCAGCCCGAGCGACAGAGCGAGGCCCTGTCTCAATAAATAATAAATAAATAATAGAAATAAGCTCTAAATGACGACGCATGCCTTAATCCTTTCTTCTTCTAACTCTTAGCTCTTCAGACTGCCCTTTTCTCTTGTCACTCAATCAGCCCCCAGCTGTCACTCATTCAGCAAGTAGTTCAGGGACTGCCTACTTGCACGGCCGTGTGCCAAGCCCGAGACACAAGGCCAGGCAGGACTCAAGCCCCACTTTGGTGCGCTCCCAAGCGGCATGTGTGTCCCGCGCCACTCAGACCTCATTCTGGACTGGTCTGTGGGTTAAGTGCAGATACCTCAGGGGACGGAGAGCACATGTACCTCTCCAGTGTCTTCTACCTTTGAATGGTTTATGAAGCAGCAAAAGTTGCCCATGGACTAAACTGACTTCTCTCTAAACACTGATTGAATATGGACAATTTGCCAGGGACTCTGATAAACTAAGACATTCAGAACGCCAGGGCACATGAATGTCGTAAGAATGAGAAATTCAGGCACGGCCCAACAAACTCAGCCAGTACCGACCGCAGAAGAAACTCAGCGGCCCCACGGTAGATGCTCAGCGAGATGAGGACAGCCGGGGAGCAGACGCAATTGTCCACGCGCAAACATGCACGCGCATGTTCTGCAACAACTCCAAGTGTCAGCAAAGCGCAAATCCCTAGGGGGCCAAATCAAGGACTCCAGACTCTGACCTGACATCCCTAACTAGCACATCTGCTTCTGTTAGCTGTTCCAGGGATAACTGCTCCCAGACGTAAACTCATAAGGTGGCTTGGTACACAGCAGGCAAGAAAGGATTCTTGCTTTCTTGCTGTAATCCCGAAATCTAAGGTATCAGTGCTGAAGGAGACTTCAGAGCAGACACCCACTGCAGCCAGGCCGTGAAGCCAAGTACACAGCAGAGTGGGGCACCAAGGCGACTTCTTGGGCAGGAGCCTGGCCCCCAGCAAAGAGCCAGGCAGCCAGGTGGGAGCTCCCCACCCCTTCAGCAGGACTAGCCACGTGGGGTTGGCAGGGAAGTCTGTGGTCTGCAGGTACTGGAACGGGAGCAACACACGTCCGTTGCACTGAGTTTGTCTGGGAAGGACATCCTCTCTTCCTGCAGCTCTGTCCACGCTGAAGTAACGGAAAGGCTGCGGGTAAGGACTTCTGGAAAACCTTTCCCTTCCTGAAGAGAGGAAAGTGGTTTATCTCTGCCCCTGACTTCCCGCCACGGAGCCGGGAGCGAGTGCCGTGCTCAGACCTGCACCACCTGCTGCCAAGTGTGCCCCCCTTAGGACGCCGTGTGTCAGCCAGACGCTGTCCCGCCACCCGTGGCCAAATTCCTGCTACCTGATACTACGAACTAATTCAACAATGTTGAAAACCTTGAGCCAACTCATCTGGCCCAGACGTGGCTCCAGACTGCTGGTCTGCAACTTGCCTGGTGGTTCACACCAGGGGCCTCCCTCCTTGCAGGCCACTGCACACAGTAGACAGGCCAGGGCACAGGCTGGGGCAGCTGACTGGCTGGCTGCAGGGGTGCAGCTGGACGGCGCCCTCCTTGGTGCCCCAGGCTGCTCACACTGCTGTGGCCCCCCAGGGCGCCAAGACGCTGCCCCTGCGGCAGGACCCGCTCTGGTCTGTTCTGGGTGGGTCTCTTTCTGCTCAGAAGGAGCTGTGTCTGCAGGCACAGCAGCCAAAAAAGCAAAAGCAAATCTAGAAATGAATGACGACCGCCCGAGTAAATGAAAAACCACAGAGCACCTCAGAACACACGGCAAAGACCACACGGCAACATGAAAGCCAGCAGTGCCCCTCTGACTGGGGACAGGACCGGGTCACATTCAGTTCTGTGAACCTCACCAAGGTCTTGTAAAGATGACAACTGAATCCCTCCACTGAAACCTTGGAGTGGGAACCACTTCTTATATCTGGCTTTGACATCTGCACGTCCCCAACCACAAACACAGTGAAACCCGGCTTCTTACATATTGAGGGGTTGAACCTGGGTCCAAGAGGCAGCCTTGCCACATCTCAAAATAAAAGAGGGGTGTGTGCTCAGCCTGGCACCATCCAAATCCATCCGTGCCCAGGCAGCCGAGTGGGCACGGGAAGGAGCTGGGGAGGTTACGGAGAGGTGACCCCACTCGGCACCACCACCCCCGGCAGCTCGTTCCGTCTGTAGTAAGTTAGTGCAGTAGAGCCCACAGGACATAGCTCCTATCCACCACCGCGTTAGGGGCCTGGGCTGCAGAGCCCGTGCGGGCATCACGACAGGGCTACTCACGGCGCCACGCCAGGAGCCGGAAGGATGCCAACAAGGCGACTGCTCAGAGCCCCACCGCGAAACCTGACTCATGGACACGATTCGGCACAAGGCCAAGCCAGAGGGATATTCCTAGAAATGCCTTTTCCAAGGAAAGCCCAGAGGCAGGCGAGCACTCTGCCACTCTGGGGCAGGACTGTGTGGGGTGTTATTTCCAGGGAAGCTGATGGCAGAAGCCCCAGCTCTGGTCATTAAACTCCCTCCTCCACAGCGGGAAACACCCACGGTCCCGGTCCTCCTATTGCTCAACTGCAGTGAGAAGCAGAAGCGCGCGTCTGAAGCACTAACCCACCGCAGGCTGTTTCGATGAACACAAGTTCCCTGTTCCGTCTCACTGGCGGTTCACCTTGACGTCCACGCACAGCCGTGTGGCACAGGCTCTGTCCACAGAGAGCCAGGGAAGGCACAGGAAGCACGGACCAGACCGCGCTTGGTTAGAAACGCACCAAACAGCGCCTGGGGCTATCACGCCCGCTCCTGCCCCCGGTCCTTGGAGCACACCTCGGGCAGCAGGGGCACCTCCAGGGAGAGGGAGCTCGCAAACAGCCCAGGCACCCGCAGCTGTCTCCCTCCCTCCTCACGGACCAGCACCCTCTGCCTGGTTCCTTTCCTTTCTGCATCGAAGGCCAAGAGCCAGTGCCCAGACGGGCCCTACTGACCTACAGAGTCTAAGAAAAGATGGTGGGTGAGCCTGTAAGTCACACCACGTGGTGGTCACTTTTGAGGCTGGACAACGACTTCTCACTCCAGAACTGCAAGATCTGCAGGCCTCGATTCCCACTGTAGGATCTAAGGTGGTCCTGTCCTGCTCAAAAGGACCTTGCCTGTTGGAGTGGGAGCCCAGAGATCTGGCTGAGCACCCTGAATGGCAGCCGGTCCTACCCCGAAAGCCCGTGGGACCAGACCAGGCTGTAACAGCAGCCGAGGCCACAGGACCCCGGGGGGCTCCTCCTTCCTTCAAGTGATGCAAAAGTGTGTGTGCAAATGAAAGCAAAGGAGAAATCCAAAAAAAGCAAGCACCCTTATATATAAAAAAATGTATATTTTTATACATTACGTATGTAAATATGTATGTTTTTGCTTAGAAAAAAATGTTTTTGTTTGTTTGTTTTCTAACAGCAAATGAGTAGAGTATTCTCTCTGGGTCCAGGCTCTGGA